AAACAGTGCCTTTTTATTGGTGAGATTTGCGAAGCCTTTCTACTTCCTTCATCTGTAAATTGTCCTCTACGGAACGAAAGGAGCCGTTCAGCCCTACATTTTGATGTGTGTCGCCCAACAGATGTCGGGGTGGTTAAAGTGCCCCCTGAGTACAAGTATCCTGTGTTTGTGAGCTCTTTGATAGCTGGTTCAGGAATCTTTTTGTTCTTTCTTTCTCTCCTTGAGTCCTGGGGGTCTGTAGCAGATGCCTGCCGCAGTCTCTCCTTTGTTTTCTGCTCCTGATATCCGTGCCCGCACTGTTATTCCTCTACCCTCTCCCTTATCAAATTAGATTATCTCCTGCTTGTAAGTACTTTTGACACGTGCGGCCGTGCAAAGACACGATAAGCATATTGGAGCACGCTGTTGTACGTCTCTTGCTCATGTCTCATGTCTCTGGTCCTCTGTTACACCTTTCCAGGACCTTAGCACTGAGTTGGCGCATTACTTGCCACACATCATGGCCAGCGAGCTCCTCTCCTGCTTGCAGCCAACTACCAGGCCTTTTGGGCACTGCCCCATCACCCTGCATCGGAACCCCAAGCCTGTTTCATCCCAAATACCGTATCATTATGACCCTCGTGTCATCACTTTTCCTCCCTCCTGACCTGTGTCTCCAGCATCTCCCTTTGTGTCCCGAACTTGGCTGGTGGCACTTCAGCTTCTTCTCAGTGTTACAGGCTTCTCCTTGGCTCCCTTTCCACCGGCTCTCCTGGTTTCCACGTGTGATCCAGAGAAACCTCTTTGTTATTCTGTCCTTCCTCCCCGTCACAAACCTGTGTTTCTGTTCCATCTTTCATGAAAGGGTCTAAGACTGAAGGTGAAATGTGCTAACAGCCTTCAAAAACATGTCAGTGGCTGCTGCAAACAGGATAGGAATAAACGATTCTCCGTGTCCTGCGGTGGGTAGGACAAGAAATTATGGGCTTAAACTGCAGCACAAGGGAGATTTAGGTTTTGATGTTCAGATAGGGTGGGGGTGAGGCGCTGGAGGAGGCTGCCAGGGAGCTGCTGGAGGGGCAGGTCAGAGGAGCAGCCATCAGGAGAGGCTGAAGGGGAGTAAAGGAGATAGCGGGGTGATCCAGAAGATCATTTTTCATCCTCTCCAGCCCTCTTACCTCCCTTTCCATATGCTGGGAGCCTCCAGCTAGGCAAAGGGCTTTTTGTGGCAGGCTCAGCCAGGCTCTTGTGCCTTTCTCCTTGCTTTTTGTCTCTGTTGCAGCAGCTCTGGCAAATGCAGTTGCAGAGAGCCTGGAAATAGCCCTGATGAGCCTCTCCTCTCAGACCTCTGCTTTGTGCTGGGTGGCTCTATTCAAACCTCATACATTGGTGGAGGTGGTGGCAGCTGCAATCACAGCATAGGGGATGTACAATAGCGACCAAAACAAACCTTCTGCTGCTCCCACAAGGGTCCACACTGAGTCTGGGGGTAGTCTGAGAGATGCTGCTCAAGGCCCTCGATGGGAAGTGTTTGCAGAGGCCTGTGTGGTGCTCGTGTCAGTGTGTAGTGGAGATGTGGAGGTAAGGATGGCTCCTGGAAGGGCTGTCCCATCGTCTCAGCTCTTGGGCTGGTTGTACGAGTGCGGGCAGGAATGACAGCGGATGTACCACTGCCTCTGTGTGTGTGCTCACCCTCGGTGCCCACCAGGACACACAGGGACGTGGAGGCTCCTTGCCCAGCTCCTCAGGACACCTCCGAGCATCAGCTAAAGTGGTAGGAACTTGTCTTTACCAAAACAACAACCCGGGGGCTCTGTCCATAACCAGTGTACGGCACAAGAACAGCCCCTTTGCTCTCACTGCCGACCGAGTCCCTGGGGACCTGCAGCCACCTCTCCCGACCCTTCCCCATCTGCGGTCGTGTCGGGATGCGATTGCATCTGTGCTGTGTCCCTGCGCCCTCCCCGAACCTCCCCGGCGCGCTATGGAGGTGGGGGGGGGGGGTCCAGGGTGCTGATCAGCCCGTGGACCCCCTTCCCTCGCCCCACAGCCCCATCCCTAGGGCAGCTCCGCGCAGGAGCGGCGGGCAGGGAGAAGCGGGCGGATGAATAATTTATCACAGCGATGCAAAGGAGCTTTAAAAACTCTCCCCATATAAATATTTATTTTTGATTCCTTAGCACCACAGCCGCCTCCACCCCCCCCACCCCCACCCCCCAACCCTTCCCCTTCTTGCTGAAGACCCCCCCCGCCCGCCTCCCAGCACCGTGGCTTTGCCTGCTTCTCGTGCACTCTCTCTGTACCACACTCGCTTTTCGCATGATCCAAGCCCTGGTGCCAAACGCTTCCCGAGGAAGAGACACCCCCCCCCCGCCACCCCTTTCTCGCACACACACACAAAACAACAACGGGAAGGGGGGGAGCTGGAGCAGCGCACACAGGCACACGCACAAAACCCTTTGAAGCCTGTGCAGGGTGAGGGTTGTTTCTGTGGTAACGGAGCGGGGATTGGCGGCGAGGGCTCCATCCCGCCGCGGTGCCGGGTGATTAATGAGCCCTTGCTGGGCTGGATGGGAGAGCCCTGGCCGAGGGGCTGCTGCGATGCCACCGGACCTGGGACACCTCTTCATCCCCTTCCACTCGTCCCCGGCAGCGCCCCATATGTGGGACAGCAGCACTTGGAGAGACTGGGACAGCCCTCTGCCTCCTGCCCTGGAGGTGCTGGAGCATCCCTGGGGCTGTGGCCTCTGTCCCATCACCAGTCCTCGCTCCTCTTGGTCCCATAGGGAGTCCAGTATCTCCTCTGGTGCAGGGATGGGCCAGAGCCACGCAGAGACGTGGTGGCATCCACAGGAGGATGAAGCAGTTCCATGGCATTTTGGGGAGCATCACTCACAGCCTTGACGCCTGCCTTGGCCTCATTGCTGCCTGTCTCCCTCCTATCCCCATAGCTTCCCAATGCTATAGGGTGGCTCACGGCAAAGCAGAGACAAGGGCTGTGCTGTCCCCATCCCCTTATTTAGTGTTATTGATCCAGGTGTCGTCGAGGTGCTGCTACCATCTCCCAGAGAGAGCTGCAGCTCGCAGGGCCCCTCACACCAACCACGGTGCGCTTTGAACCTCACCTCCCTTTGCTTGCTCTTTCGACAAGGCAAAGCAGAAACAGGCCCCGCTCACATCTCGTGGGCAAACAATAATAACGAGGGAGTTTCAAGCCTCTTTCCCCCAAAATAGCCAAACCAGAACACGCACAGCCTTCCCAAGCTGCTGCCTGAAACAGATGTGCTGCCAGTGAGGTAGCTATTTATAATGTGCAGCATTCCCTTTTCAGCCGCAGCGACTCCAGCCCTCGGCTCTCGTGCTCCGCAGCTCCTTTTGAAGCCTGTAGCTCTAATCCAGGGACTGTTCCTGGGGCTGCTAAAAATCGCCTCGTAAACCCGCCAGGATGCCAGGGAGCCGGAGCCCTGCCTGCTCCCTGCCTTCGGAGGGGGTTTATCAGCCCCAGAGGCTGCGGGGATCATAGAATCATGGACTGGTTTGGGTTGGAAGGGACCTTAAAGCTCACGCCTTCTAGTGGAAGGGACACCTGCCACTAGACCGGGTTGCTCCAATCTGGCCTTGATGGGACCGTCCCATCGCTGGATGTCCCAACCTGGATCTTGCTGGGTGCTGTGTCCCTGATTTCCCCATGGGCTTCAGGCTCTGCAGGTGGCTCTGCCACAGGGCCAGGGGCTCAAAGCCTTTCCCAACCCTTAATTTGAGAGGTTTTGTCTTACAGAGGTCAAGGGGGATCAGGACACTGCCACTGGGAGTGGGGGGGGAAAGGCTGATGTGGGTTTGAGCCCGGTGGGTTTGGTCTGGTCCTCATTGACGGCCATAGGGGATGTGGGCAACGAGGGATAAAGGGGAAAACGGGATCCAACTAAAAGGAGATTCAAGGGGGGTTGCCAGTGCTGGTGCCTAAACTTAGGGTGGGTTTTGCTATCCTGGGGGTCCTGCAACAGCTCTGGACCTGTGACACAGCTGCAGATCGGGTGCCTCGAGCTACCCACAGCCCCAGGGACCATGGCGGGGGGGCTCATGGGATCCCATCCCAGGAGGAGCCGCTGCTGGGAGCACCCAGCACCAAGAGCCCCGATGCTGCTCCAGCCCTCAGCCATGTGCTGGGTGAGCGTGCTGCTGTGTCAGGCACTGCATGTGGAAGCTGTTTGCTGCAGGAGAGCTGCAGGCCCCACTCTGCCTCCCACAGTGCTGCTGCCGCCCCAAACCCGCCCAGCCGGTGCTGCTGCTCTGTGGGGGGGCCCACAGAGGGAGAGGGGCTGGTCGGGATGAGGGCTTTGCTTCTGTCACAGCCCTCTTTCTGCTCGTGTCTCTCCCAGGCAGGGTGTTTGGAGCTGGCTCAGTGCAAAGCTTTGGGGGTAGCTTGAGCCCTGCTCTCCTTTCCTGGTGGTGCAGAGCATCACCCTCGTCCTGGCACAACGCTGTGGTGATGGGGAAGAAGCTCCCTGCCCTTTGGAAAGGAACATCCTGAAATCACCCCCCGGGAGAGACCTAACGTGGATCTTGGCTTGGCTTTGCTGTTCTGTAGGTGCCAAGGGGCAGGGTTGTGCACTGGTGGGCAGAGACCACCCCTAAACTCTGTCCTTTAACCTCCAAATCCCATCTCGAGGGAGAGCATTTCTTGTTCTGCTGCTTGGTGGGCTCACACCCAGCTCAGCCTCAAGTAGAAGAGGGTGGTGGTTATAAAATGTCCCAGTGAGCTGTCCCTAACCCAGGGTGGGACTCTGGGAAGGAGCTCAGCATGAGCCTTATCTCCCACAGCGCTATGGGTCGGCTCAGCCTGGTGGGGATATGGGGATAGGTTCCCATGAGGATGGCATCCCTGGCCGACACTGGATCCTTCCTGGTTTCCAGTGGTAACAGACAAACCTTTGCTCCTGGAAGAGGGACTGTAACACAGCCCATGGCAGCGGAGCCTCCTAAAAGCTGGTCTCATTGCAGTTGTGTTAATTATTAATAGGAGGTGGGGAAGACAACACTGGAAAACCCCAACTGTTGGAGGCAGGCTGGCACTTCAGCTGCGTCCAGCAGCGTGCGCCTGGCTTCCCCCTGGCCTAAGGGGAGATTCGGGGGTGCCTTTTCCTGTGGCTGGTGTCAGAGTGTGAGTGGAGAGGGTTGACATCCCTCTGTGAACCGCAGCAATCTGAAACCCAAGAGCTGTGGCTCTTAGCTTGCTCTTTAGCAAAGGCTTCCACCGCCCATGAAGGGATGAAGTCCATTTAGGCAGCGTTTGTGCCTGGGGAGGCACCGGGGGCTGCACCCATGTAGTGACCCGGAGCTGGGGATCTCAGCAGGGCACTTTGCATGGAAAACAAGGAAATGGGGAATTTTCACCCAAAAGCCGTATGGACCTGGAGGGGTTCTTCCCCCCACATCTGATGGTGGGGACCAGGGATGTCAGTGTGGGGAGCTGGGAGGTGTTTCCATGGAGACCAGCAGTGTTGCTGCAGGGGGGGAACCCCACAGCACAGATTTGGGGTCCTCATCAGTGCCTCATGGGGGCTCGTGGAGCAGCAGTGCCCTGGCCCCATGGTACACAGCCAGGAGAAGCCTTGCTCTGCAATCAGTGCTCCATATGGGAAGGAGATCCCAAACCTCAGGGGCGGGCAATGACCATAGGTGCCACCTTCCCACCACCCCCTTCAGGAGCCCCTGCCTCCCCCAGCACATTCCTCTCTCCCCTCTCCCTTCTCCTCCTTTCCATTCCCCATTCCCTTTCTCTCCCTTTCTTCCCCTTGCTCCACCCCCTTCCAGACTCCTCTGTGGGGCATTGATTTTTCCATCCGTCAGCGAAACGCTTGAGGAAAATGAAAGAGCATCTTCGTGATCGATCAGGAGAACTCTTCAGCCCGGGGTCAGGAAGGGTTTGAATCAGCTGCTCCCCTCTCATATAATTACCCCCTCTCTCCCAAGCCAGGCCTCTTCACACGCCTGCGGGAGCAGCCATCCCACTGCAGGGCCGGGGCACGGCTCTGCACTGATGCCAGGAGGAATTGCCTGCGGATGCGTTGGGTTTTGCTGCTGAGTGAGCTCAGCTTTGGGTTGGGGTCCGTGTGCTCGAGCTCGCTGTGTGCTGAGCAGCATGTGCCGAGTGGGTGCGAGCGTGTGTGTGCGCTTCTCCCTCGCCGGCATCGATCGCTCCATGGGTAGCTAATGCTGTGTGGTGCTTGGCAAGGGTGGGAGCTTTGAGGCTGCGAGTGTAAAGGAGCTGAAAGCAACCTAAATCCAATAGGAGTTGGGTGCCCAGCTCCCTTCTCTCTTTTGAGCATCTCATTTGCAAGGGAGCATTGTCTGGGGCGTGCTGCACGTACGCACCGCGTTGGAAGCAGCCTGGAGATGCCTGTGGAAACGCCAGACTTTGCCATCTGGTACCACGCTGGCCCCTGAGGTGCCACTGCTTGCTGCCTGCCCCCAGAGAGTCAGCAAGAGCTGAAGGAGCTTCTTATCTCTACCGTGGGGTAGCTGCTGCATGCAGATGGTGACTTCTTCATGGCAACCAGCGTGAGTCACGCTGGGGGCTGGAGGGGGACGTTGGTGCCTGGCTCCGATGGGTGCTGCATGGAGGAGTGGGCACAGTTCTCCCTGCAGCTCTTGCTGGAGCTCTGTGTGTGCTCGATGGGATGTGCTCGCTGCTGTACAGTGCTGCTGGGTGCAGCGCTGGGATTCAGTGTGGTGTTTGGGGGCTGATGTGCTGGGTCTGATGGCACAGCAGGGAAAAATTATCCTTTGGATTTGCCTGAAGGAGAGAGCCCCCAGGTTCCCTTCCCCACCAGCACAGCCCCAGAGCCAACACTGAGCACCCCAGCGTACCACGGAGCTCATAGGTTTGCTGTTGCCCATCTCTGCTGACCAAATCCCTCCTATTTCCCACTGACGTTGGTCAGTCTGTTTCCTGAGCTACGTGGAGGGGTTTCAGACCTGGAGGTGCACAACACAGGGCAAGTTAGAGCTCGCTGGACCGGGTGGAGGTCGCAGAGCTGGCCCCAGCCTCCCATGGTGGATTGTGCATCTCAGCTAACACGTCTCTCTGAGCAGATGTAGAATGAAAGCATCCCCTGGGAGTGAGCAGGAGCAGTCAGAGAGTGGGGGGACATGCAAGCCAAGGCTCTTCTCCCTCATTTCTCCTGCCTTCTGGCCCTGGAGAGCCTGGCTGTGGCTCTCACCTTCACCCAGCTGCCTCCACCTGTGTTTGCAGCCCTTCACCCCAGAGTCTGCAGAAGACCCGGTGGCCGGTTGTTGCCTCTGTTACAAGGCAGCTTGCAGCCATTAGATTCCCATTGTGTTTCCACGCTGGCCTGGGAATGAGCACACATGGAAAGAGAGGAGTACACATGGGAAGAGATGGCAGGGTAAGAAACTGGAGCAACATGTTCCTGTTCCCACCACAGCCAGTTCAGACCAGCCAGACCGGAGCGCTGCAGGAGAAGGACAATGCAGAGGCTCTGGCTTTCCCCATCCACACCAGCATGGATGCATTGCAGATGTGCTGATAGCAGCGAGCTGAGTGCTGACGCTGCTGGGGAGCCATAGGTGAGGCTGAACTGAATTTATCTGCTCCACGGATAATGTCCTCTGCTGAAAGCAGCTGAAACAGCTCGTCCTGGCTTTGTTGGGAAGTTTATTTTACAGCACGTAATGAGAGCTTGTCCCATGCCCCTGGTAAAGGCTTGACAGCAAGCCTCATCTGGGCAGGGTCTTTCCCCTGGTGGGATTTGGTACCAGTGACAGTCAGGGGAACTTTGCTTACTTAACCTGTGAGTGTTGCATCCCATTATATATGTGGATCTAACCCAGTTTCCTCGAATCTGTGTCGCTCCGTTGATAGCAAGGGAGAGAGGCTGGTTTATGCAACTGGATCTTCCTGTTATTCCTTGCAAACAGAGTGCTTTGTAATGTCACTGCTGGGTTCAGTGCTGGTCATGGGGACAGGAAGGACTCCGTTGCTCCACCACCTTCTTGCTGACCACCCTTGGTCATGTCCCTTGGTCTTCCCATTGCTTCCTCACTCTCAGGTCTGCAGGATGGGGAAAAAAAACCCGTGTGAGTTGCTGGGGGCTTGCAGCCCAATGAAGAAATGCATGCTAATTAAAGTGAGCTCCTCCTCTCCTGTTGATATCCCCAATCCATCGGTGGGGTGCTGGAAAGCTCTGGGATGCGGGAGTGTGAGGTTGTGACAAAGACAAAGCAATAACGCTCCCAGGCTGCTGAACAGAAAGTGGATCCATGTGTTAATCTGGGAAAAGGAGTGTGAAAAGAGCTGCAAATCCTCACGACTTTGTTGTAATTTCTCCCAAATAGGATGCAGGCAGGAAAAACGCCTGCTCCATGCTCCAGCCCCCTTGGCTGCTGTGTGGTTACTGAGCTGAACCTGGGGCTGGTGCAAGAGTAAACCCTTCCACTGGGCTTGTGGGAATACAGTGAAAGGGTTAATTCTGTTGGGGGCAACTGGGGTGCCAATGGCTTCAGGGTCAGGCAGGTCTGCTCCCTGCTGCCTCTCTGCCCGTTCCTGGCTGGGTCAGCCTGGCAGCTGGAGGATGCTCTGATGGGTATGGTTGAGTGGTGCACGTTGAGTGGGTGACTACAGGGTGCAGAAAGCCAGATCCCTCCCAGCTGCCTTCCTGCTAATGCTCATCTAATGAACAGCAGCCTGGAGCGGCTGAGAGCAGGGCAGTGGAGAGCTGAGGTTTGCACTCAATAGGCTCGCAACTCCAGCTCAGGAACCAGCAGAAAACACCCTTTTCATATCGACAGATCAATGAAAAGGTGGTGTTCCCCCTCCTTTTCCCTTCTCCAGCTCCCCTTTCCCCTCCTGGGCCAGGGATGCTTTTCAAAGCCAGAGCAGGGCTGGGATCTGGACCCAATGGGTTTGCACCTCATTCCCCATCCTGGCTATTGTGCATGGTGATCGCTTGACACCATGATCTCAGCAGGTATCAAAGCAAGTAAGTCTTGGCATGATCCCTCCTTCAGGGAGAGCTTCCAATCACTAATGTACCTTCAGAGCCACCGTGTCTTTGCTGAGACAATGAACAAAGCTCCAGGCCTGTGAGCACGGGCAGGATTTGACCAGCATCTCTTGCACTGCTTGCTTGGGTACAGGCAAGAGTTAACAAGAAGCCACGTTTTGTTTTGCTGCACATCTTTGGTTCACTGGAAGGAGATGCTCTTCCCGGTGCTCCGGCTGTTGTAAATGCATTCTTCTTCCCAAGGTGTCTCCTGGAACTGAGCTCCAGCATGTTGTCACTGGTGGAGAGATGATTATGGAGCAGCAGCTGTCTGTCCCCTCCTGCCAGCTCCCGGCGAGGCAGCAGGAGGGGGAACGGCTCCTCTGGGTGCCTGCTGCTGGCACCACATCCCAACGTGCCTGGTGTGAGCATGCAGCTAAAGGCTCCGGCCTTTCCCACCTCATCCCAATGCACTGGGGCAAGAAGCCCTGGTGCAGTGCCCAGCTCGGTGCAACCTTCACCCGTGGTGGGGTTTTTCACCCTAAGTTGTACACATCTTCCTGCACATGTCAGCCTGGGAGGGGATGGTTTCAGCTCTGGTATTGTTTCTCCCTGCAGGAGAGAAACGAGCGTCCTATTTCTTCATGCAAAAATGAGGCATTGGAAACAGGCTGAAGGGGAGAGGAGCTGGATGGGTGCCCCAGAGCCCTCACTATCGCAGAGGACAGCAGCCTGGTCCTACGTTACCATCCCTCTGTCCCTTCCCTGCTCGCTCTGTCATCAACACAGAGCTGTTTATGGGGTTTATTATCTGTGCTTCAAACACTGCCCAGCAGCGTCTGAGCCCGCTGCTGGATCACAACCCACCTCGGGATGCTCCAGCCAGGAGGGAGGTGAGCTCCACACGTGCTAGCAGGGGAGGGCCAGATGCAAGCTCTTCCCTGGCGTTTCCCCCCCTTCCCCTTGCCCTCGCCTTAGGCCAAGCAGGGAAAATCCTCCAGCAGACCCCAGCTGGGGCAGCTGGCTGCTGGCTTTCCATGGCAACCGTCCATCAGGGGGTCAGCAAGGAGGAATTCTGCCCCCTCCTTCCCTGGCCGGGGCGGCTGGGCGCTATGCTGCTTGCATTCCCGGGGCTGCAGATGTGGTCGCCTTATCTCTGGGAGGCCTGAGTCAGTTTTTCCCTGTGTGACGTGATGGAGCAGGCAGCTGAGGGATGGAGGGAGCAATAAATAGCTCCTGAGGTATGCCGGGGATGTCCGTCCCTGGGGATGGATAAGGTGATGGGTCGGGAGCCTTCCACCATGCGCAGTGCTGGACTTGTGGCACCCATGTGGTGCATGGCACATATGTAGGAGATGAGGGAGATGTCTCCACTGGGCAACCTTCACACATCATGAACAGCTTGGCCAAGGGAAAAAGGGGAGGCCCAGGAGTAGCCATGCTGTGGGCTGGATCCTGCTCCTGAGAAGACCTGAGGAATATGCCCATGGGGGAGGAAGCACATTCACCCCACCAGTACCTATCCGATACGTGTGTGCTTGCTGCTCCTCCACACACACTGATGTGTCAGTTCAGAGCTGATCCCTTGCAGCTTTACAGAGGTGCAGCTGAGAGCAGGATCCAGCCTCATGGACCAGATATATTGATTCACGTCCTCTGCTTGCTTTTTTGCTGAAGCTGGATTCTTCACCATGGAGATGTGATGTCCCCATGCCGAGCAAAGCTGGCAGGGAATGGTGAAGCCCTGGTGACCAGGTTTCATGCTGTAAGCTGAGCTCCTTTAGTAAAGCAAGACTCAGCCTGCTTGGTGCTGAGAGAAGGTCTCATGTAAGGTGCTGTTATCAGCCCAAAGCATTAACACCCCCAGAGCTCGTGCACTGAATAATCATCAGTCCAACTTAAAACAAACCAAACCACATGCAGCGTTGGACACATGGCAAGTTTTCCTTCTGCTGGTGCAATCCTCAGCTCAGCCTTTCCAACCTTTTTCCCAAGGCTCCAGGAGCAGGTTGGGAAGGGAAAGACTCTCCAGTGACTGAGGGTGCAACAGGCAGGGCCTGGAGGAGGACAGGACACCGAGGCTGGGCACCGTGGGATGTCCCAGTGCCCATCGGGTCCGAGCTGGCTTCCAGCCTCTCATCTCGGAGCTGCAGGCAGGAGCCAGGGCTTGGGAGAGGGTTTCTATAGCAACAGCTGCCACTCACTCCCCATCTCCGATGTAAATTAGTTGGGATTTTATTAGTGTGCAGGATTCCAAGAGACCGGAGCTGGTGATGAGGCCTGATGAGTTTGGGAACAGGAGTGTGTGAGGGGAGCCGGCACTGGCACCAACAGGCAGTGCTGGTCTAGCAGCATCTTTAGGAGTTTGGACCAAGACAGCTTTGGAAGGGTTCTAAATGGATTTTCACCCACAGCTCTGGCTTTTCCAGGTCTCAAGAGGCTGAAGATGGGGCACAAAGGCAGAGAGGGCTGCACTGACCCCCAGAGGAGCAGATGGGGTGGACTGACCTGTCCCAAAGCCAGGCAAAGGGAGTGCTGTGGTGGATGTGACCCTGATGGTGACAACATTGTAAAAGTCCAAAGCCTCTCTTTTGCTTGGAAACTCCATTGGGAAGACCAATAGGGACATGTTGATGGTGATGAGTCTGAAAGCATTTATTAGAAACTCACCCAGTTGCACTTTTGGCTGCAGGCAGCTGGACCGATGCATAAGATGCTCCTTGTCTCACAGATCTTGCCATGCAAATGAAAGCATCAGGTAAGGAACACACTCTCATGGGGCCACCAGTCTGCTCTCAGAAACCCCTTCAGGCCACGGGCAGCTCTGAGTCTCCAGGTGTGTGTTTCCATCCTCAAGGGCGCTAATGGTGTGAGACCATCCTGAGTGCCTGCAGCTGGTGCAGCACCGCCTCGAGAGGGGTTTCAGATAAAAGCTTGATGATGAAGCTATTTGGTGGTTTGGCACAGGGGTTGGTGATCGCTGGTGGTCTTCTGAGCTGAGGAGGTGAGGAGCTGGGGCTTTGGGAGCCTTGGGGAGGGCTGCAGAGGGATTTTTGCTTGGTCAAGGGGGCTGCTCAGTGTCTGATGTCTCTGGGCCATGGGGCTCCTTGTTAGTGGGAGCACGGTTGGTTGTTGGATGGGATCAGCACCTGCATTGGTTTTTCCATGGACAGCCAGCCTTTTGCTGGAGCTGATTCAGTCTGGAAAGGAGCTCCTGGTTGTGAATGCTGCTGTGGTGGAACTATCTTCTTTGCATGCTCAGCTGTAAGCAAGTAAGAGTGATTGTAATGCCAGTTGCTGCCCCCAGATCAAAAGTCTGCTGTAAAACCCTGTGTGAAGAATCTCAATTTCCGTGTCCTTCCCAGCTTCTGTGGCCAGGAGCTGCATTTCAAACCTCCTATTTCCAGCTCTTTGCCTCTAACCATGAGGGCTGTGAATTTTCCTGTTTAATGAAAGAAGAGGGTTGTGTTTTGCCTGTGTTTTCTTCCATAACTTCATGGCTCTGGGATGAGGGGTCTTGTGGAAGTCAAAAGGCTTTGCAGCACCTTGTGATGGTGCTGTGATACTTGCCAGCAACTGGGTTACAGCTGGATGGTGATGAGTAAGGTTTCTGTATCTAGTGTAGATAGAATATGAATGTGTTTTAGGCAGCCAAACAAGAGGGCTGGAAGAGCCCTTGAAATGCTGCAAGTGTGGGGCTGGGCTGGTTGGTGTCTGCTTGGTTTGGAAATGGGTTAAACCCCCTGAAATTTGATGTTTTGGGTGCTTGTCATGCTGTAAAACACAACAGAGAGGAGCATCTGATGCTCAGCTTGTGCTGGGATCAGAAAGGGAGTTTTCCTGCCCCATCCTGTGCAAGTGGCTGCAGATAGACCCAGCTGCAGTTAGTGCCTGAGGGGACCATCTTTGCCTAACTCATCAATTCTGATGTCTTAATTACTATTAAAACCTGGTGTTCATCCTCCGGCCTTAGGTACCACTTCAATTTTTGATGTGCCCCTTCCTTCACCCTCCCCTTCCTTTTAATTCCTTGACACACCATAGAAACATCAATTAATATTCTAAGTTATAGTTATCATTCAGGAACCGATCTGCTCCTGTGCCTTGTGCTGGTGCAGTGCAAACAACCAGTGCAGGTGCTGGGAAATGTGGGTTATCCGTGGAGCTGGGGCTGTTGTTCCTTCCCTGGCTGTGTGGTCCATGCCATTGGGTTCAGCAGGACCCTCCTCCCTGCCCAAAGGCTGTGTTGGCACCACTGCTGCCTGCTGTGAAGGGCAGGCTCTAAGGCAGGGGTTTGCTTTCACAATACATTGGCCTTTTGTAGGGGGACTGCATCCTAAGCATGATGGAAATGCCAAATGTGCTGATAATGCAACTTGAAACAGATCCATGGGGACTTGGCGCTGGTGTCTTGAGTGATTGAGAGCAGGAAAGGGACTGGGTGATGCATGGGGTGACCGGGCTGTGAACCCTGGTGGGTCAGTGCTGGTGTGGGAGGTGCAGTGCTGGGGGTGCTGATCAAGGGTTTGGGGGGGATTTGATCCCTGGGACGTGTTGGAATGCAGAGCAGGCTCTATCAGCCAGGACTTTGGGGCTCTGGAGACTCCAATCTGGTGCCCTGAGGTTGAGTTTGGGCTCCACATCTTGGGGTGAAATCACCCCGAAATAGTTGTGTCTGTCTCATTTGTGGGACAGAGCCAGGAGCATGAGATGCAGCTGAGAACTGAGGGTGACCATCCCAGTGCTCCGCATCCTGATGGCTTCCAAACTGAGACCGGGACCTTGCTGGGCTGCAGAGCTGGGGCTGTGTGCAGGCTCCACTCACTGATGGGCACAACACAAACCTGCTGCAGGAAGCAGGATGCTGCTCGATGCCTGATGTTAGTCAGTGGCTTGAGGATGGTTGTCCTCGGGAGCAGGCAGTGTTGGCTGGATCTGCAGGAGGGGATGGAACAGCTCAAGGGCACCCTGATGCCCTGCCTGGATTTGGGAGAAGGGAGTCCTGAGTGAGCCCCTGGATCAGAGAACTGACCTTTGCTGAAAGCAGCTCATCGTGTGCTAATCCTTGAGCACGTCCTTCAGCTCCATTGAAGAAAACAGATTTTAAGTGCATGCTTAAGTGTGTTCCTATTCCTGGGCCTCAGATAGGCTAAGGATTGCTAGGGAGAAGATGGCTGGGTAAACCAGGAGGTAGCGTGGCCATGAGCTTGTTCCCATTTTGCACGAGAGGATTAGCACTGGGCTGCTTGTCTCGCAGCCCCGAGGCCGGAGCATTGGATCTGTCCTCCCTTTTTGCCATCTCATGAAGCCTTGTGCATCCTCCCGCCCAGTGCAGGCTCCATCCTCCCCTTCCTCCATGTGTCCGCCCCTCTCCCCAAGGCTCCATCATCCCATTGCTGCCATCCCTGCAGAGCAGAAGGTGGCCCAGATACTGCGCTTCACATCAGCCCAAACCCGCTCCAGCCCTTTGTGCGGGACGGCACAGATAGAGCTGGCACCGGGTGATGCTGGGGGACCCCCACGGTGCCCCTGCCTCTTTCCAGTGCTGCAATTCCCTCCCTGTGGCCGTGCTCCCGGCTGGCCGAGAAGCTGGCTCCTGCCATCAGCTCAAAGGCAGCAGCAGCAGCAGCCTCTGCTTTTCCACACGTCGGTATTTTTAGCTCTGCTGTGCATTAGCGTGCAGGAGCTCAAACTGCGAAGCCTGGCTGAGGTTTTATCTGTTGTGACAGCCCTTAGGGCTGTAGGCAGACACTCGCTTGCTCCCTCTCTGCTTTTTTCTCTCTTTCTCTTTCCTCTAAGTTAGCAGCTCGCATCCATGCTCTCCCTATGGAGGCATCGTGCAGCCGGCAAGGCAAGGGACCAAAGGTGGGAAATGGGGTTCAAAGTGTGGTCTGAGCCCCTTTACAATGGAGCTTTATCCTCCTCCTCTCTGTGTTTTTCCATTCCTCCTTGCTGCTGCCATCAGAGCTAATGTCACAATGAGGTGCTGACTCGCCCCTGCTGTCCTGCCCCAAAGGGTTTCCCAAAAGCTGTGCTGGCTGACAGCTACACAGCTATTGGGGACAGTAAAACAAGGAGCCAAGGCCAGCAGGGTCCAGGATGTCAGGGCTTGGCAATTCTGGTGCTCTCACTGCTGCTTGTTCCAAACTCCTTCTGCATCATCTGCAGCAGTGGTTTATAGCACAGGTGTTGTCCCTCTTGGGGCAGCTTTGGGCTCCAGGTACCCCAAAACACTGGGGAGAAATCAGTCCCTTGCAAACCCTGCTGGGTTTCAACACAAGAAGGTTTTAGCTGTGCCTGGCCTCCCTTGAGAGAACAGCACTTGTGAATCCACCCTTGCTCTGTGCAAACACCCTGTGCTTTGGTTTGGCTCCTAAGGAGGGTTTGCTTTATTGCTGCTCTTACTGGATGACTCCCCTGAACCCATTCTGGAGCTGAAGGACTTCCCTCTCCCTCCCAGAGAGCTGCATGCATGTGAAGCATCTCCTGCCCACCCCAGTACCTCTGAGCAATGGGGTAGCAGAAAGGCAGCCGTGGTGATGCCCTTCAAAAGGAGGACCCAAGGTGCTGACGAGGCTTTGGCTTTCCAGCCTGCTCAGCAACCTGTTCTGCTTGGGTAAATCTGGGCTTAAACAGGAGGAGAAGTTGCATGAAAACCTGGTGCCCCTGGAATTTGTCCAAGGTCATGGGGGAAGTGAGGGACAGAGCCAGGAATGGGATCGGGCTTCCTGTCCCATATGTCCAGCCTTCCTCTCTATCCCTTAGCACATGCCTGCTTCATGTCCTTTCAGCTGGAGCTTCCTGAAATCCTGCACCAGGTCTTGGGATGTCTGTGCCAGCCCTGATGTGTCCTGAAAGGGAGCACAGACCCCACACAGGGAGGTCTGGGTCCTCCTTTTCCTTCATGGGAAGGGCTTCTTTGGCATGTTTAATCAGAGAGCATTGAAAAACGCCTGTTTTTAGGTAAAAGGTAATGATTTGGCATTTAGTGCCTCAGCACTGCCGTGGTCCCAAGGTGGATGAGGGCTGTGTGTCCCCAGGATGAGATGGGTGTGCTTGGATGCTGAGGCAGCTGGAGGGTAGCAGAGAGGGGAGAGATGTTTGTGATGGGTCACAAGCTCCTTTATGTAAGCCTGCCCACACCACTTCCCTTTCTGGAGCTGCACCATTTAAAGCACAGCACTGGTGTGTGGCAGCTCCCGCATCTTCATCCGAGTTGGTGCTGGTGGGGACTAAAAGGCCACGAGTGCCCGGACCCAGCCTTGTCACCCACTTACCTGGGCATAAACCCAATGGGGAGCCCAGGATGTGTTCCTGGGTCCTCCTGTTCCATTTGCATTGGTGACACATGGAGGCACATCCCAAAGTTTGGCTTTCCTAACTGACCCCACACTGCGCCTGCTCTGTTCTCCCCCCCTAATTCCTCCTTTTCTTTGCTGGCAGCAGCCAATACAGTGAACCTGAGACCAACTGCATGGTGTTCCCAGCTCAACCTGCAGCAGGGATCACTGGATCTATGTGGAGTCTTTGCCCTTTTCCAGGGAGCACCCAGGGATGAGGGTTTTGCAGCTCAGGTTGTGGCACAGGGCAGGGTGCTGGGGGGTTCTCTCAGCAGCGTTTTCTCTGGGCAGGGTGTTTGTGTGATGTGCGAGTCCTTGATGGCAGCCAGAGCATGGCCGGTACCTTTGCACTGAGCCTTGGCATCCCCTGAGCAGCTCCATGGGGTTGGGCTCATCCTCTTCCTCCTCCCCTGCCTGG